GCTGTCTGCAGAGAGAGAAATTAGTTGGTATTTAAAGGAGAAGAAACACATTTGGTTCCTCAACCGAAGAAGATTCTGGCTAGAGGTTCTCAAAAATGTCAGATTGTGAGTGAAGCAGTGTTGGCTAACAAGTGTGTTGTTAACCCTTAATCGGTGACTGAGCTAAAATTTCGCCTTCTATAATAAAAACACGCCATATAGTCCATAATTGTTCTCCATGTGTTTAAAAATTTATTTATAATTAGTTGGAATTGGAAAGTATTCTCTGTTTTTGTTATGGTATTGAAAATGTCGAAACTTGAATAAAGTATCTTTTTTTATGAATTTTAGTAGGTGGTATCTGCTTTAATCTTTTCATAACAATCATATTAATCTATAATACATCAAAGCCAGGCTTTGCGCTTTACTTTCATTCATAAATTTAATATTACGAATGAGCTTGTTACTAAAATAGAAAAAAATAGTATCAATCAGGATAAGACCCCGCTTAAAAATGATATTATTACTCCTTAAGATTCGTCATGACTAAGTTTCTAAGACTTTGTCTTGGCTACTCGAAACTTATGCATGAACATAAGATCGTTAGGGACACTTCCGATTGTAGACGATGCAATAAAGAATGTCTTCTATTTGGACTTGGCACTACTCGCATATAATGCATACTTCTCTCCAATCAACATATATAATAATTCCTTCATGAAATTTTATAAAGTTTGTGGAATAATTTACACTTTATTTAAATTTTAAAAGTTTCAAAATAAAACCATTTATTCCAAGACAATATCAAGCTGAATCCCCAAAATATATATAGCTTCTTCTATTTTATAGATAGATTTTCCCTCTGAAGAGATGGTTGGTTGTTATTTTATCCAAGTATCCCCTAACCAGAAACTAAATAAATAAACAAAAAATCACACAGTTTTTTCCGCACACAGTAAGGGTTAAATGTATTTCTACATTTTTATGTCGAATCACTTTACGCTTCACAACACTGGATGTAAACAGACTAAAAATCGAACAGTATATCAGCGATGAGACTACTTGATAGCTACGATAAGATAGTTACGATAGTCTAATATCGTAGTTATTTATTTTTTATTAGTACTAATATTATAGTTAGTATTAGACTACCTTATAGCTTCTGTCTCGCTTTCCAAGTCCCGCCCACGAGCAGGGCTGCTAAATGCCAGCTGTGACTCGCTTCCCACCCACATGCAAATCATAAACCATAATGGATCCAACAACGCGACTTGCCAGAGCCCTGTTAATGACCCCTGTCAGAGGTTCAAAGGGTAAGCCCCCCAAGGGTTAGCCGGACAGTTGGCAGTCCTTCCTGTTTCGCCATTTTATCTTTGTTGTCTGCCCCACCTGCCCGCCCTCTCTCTCCTCCGTTCAGGCCGTTTATCTGGGAAGAGTGCTCTCATTATGAATATTATCGCCCGGCAGCAGGCGGCGCAGTCAGAGCCCATTTCTGGGATTATTTTCTTTTAATTTCCAGCGTGGCGCTTTTCGGGGCTTAATGTGTTTATTGAGTGGCGGCGATAACATTCCCATATTTCACACAGAACACCAGAAAGGCAGTAATTAAACACGAGTGCAAAGTGTTGTGCATTCGAACAAAGAATATGCGCCACAAATTAGTCGAAGCTGTGCGGATCCGGTGACCCCCGGTGACCCCCGGGCGCGAATAAACAATTTGGAAAGCTGACATAATGCCGGCATTAACCGACAAGCCCCGACAGCGAAAAATGGCAAATATTTGTGGTGGGCTGGTGGGGGAGGAGTGTGGGATTTTGAAAGCTGGGAACCGGGAACCGGAAAACAGAAAACAGAAAACACAACTCTCGCAACAACATCCACAAGAAGCTTTCCCGAAATAAGCCAAAGATGAAAAAAAGTGTTCTATATTCTATATGCGTGGGTGGTGGAGGGTGGAGGTATGGGTGTAGGCATGGGCGTGGCTGCCACAAACACTGTCATGGAAATATTGCAGAATTTTATCTTTATGGCTCTGGCAATGTTGAATCAGTTGGGATAGTCCCGCGTCGCACAAAGAGGCGTGTTTCAACCGAGATGAGATTTATGAACAGAATATAGCTTTAAAGACTATGGAAGATATTCTCTCTCGATTGAATACTTTGATTGATTGATTGATTGATTGCCGCATATTTTTTGGTCAGCCGATGTACCATTACAGGCTCTCGTCCTTTGTCTTCAAATGACAAATTCCTTCATTTTTTTGCCGTCGGATGTGCTGGCATTGTCGTCCCTCTTGGCAATGACCCAGAGTCCCCCCCAGACTGCCACTTGAGAGCTTCCAAGTCTTTAATTTTTTTGGCATTGCGTGAAAATTGGAGGGTAATTGCGAGCTCAACGATAAACTCGAGTGGCCGATACGAGCTCGAGTGAGCAAGTATCTCAAGTAGTCAGTCTGATGTCGAGTGGTTCGATCAATACCCTAATTCGATTTCAATTTCAATTCCAAAACAAGGCGCATCCGCCAATTGAATTAAGTTGCCGTCTCTCGGATGAAATCATAAATGAGGTCGGAGGCAGGTCAGGCAGGTCGTTACAGAAAGTTACATATAAGCTCTTTGCATTTCCGCGAAAGCCCTGAAACGATATTAAGCCTGCGTGTCCAGTGTCCAATGACCCTCGAACCCACACACAGCCCGAAAAACAAAGACCATCATTATGTACAATGGTGTATATATATATTTTAAACATTTTTCTCTCGCAACCCTGGTCGCAATTAGCAAACAATGCGGGAATGAGAGTCCAAAGCTTAACGCGTAATGTGCATTACGGGCCATAATGGTGGAAAGTAGGGCAACGTAGGGAGTGGAGGAAAAGCCACAGCAGAAAGGAGAGAGCATCCTGGCCACTCATGCATACGAGCATATGTCGGAAATTGTAACGATTACACGCCGGACACACACAGGAAGCCCAGGAGCCTCCCACCGCCCAGGACTCTCATGTCCGTCATCGATTGGAAGTGTAGCATGCATTTCAGGGCAGACTCGTCCTTCGGATACATTTTTCATAATAATTATTGGAAACGTCAGGGGCGGCAACTGCTTAATGGCCTCCCGACAATGATTTAATGCATTTTTAATTAAAGTAAATAGCAGGGAATGGAATCAATCGCCAGTTGACTTTGTAATTGATCCCGAAAACGAAGTCATTAAAAGTTTTGTGCGCCAGGAGGACTTGCGCCAGGACTTGTGCCAGGACCTGTGCCAGGACTTGTGACGTTGGCGCAGCTCATTATAAATTTGTTGATGCTGCATATCTTGGGCATGGCTGGCAGGATGGTTGGATGGCAGGATATGCTGTGCTAGCTTCCTTGCAGCCATCGAGGCAGAAGCTGGAAGCAGCTTTCCTCCAGCCACTGCAGATCCTTTGGCAGGGCATTTTGAAGCCATTTTGTGATTACTCTCAAGGATGTTTATCCTTTTACTATTTCGGAAGAGTATTGCCAGTTCGCCTTCTGCCGGAAGACAGCCAGGACCTGCTGCCTCAACACATTTCATTTCCATCTCCGCAGCCGCAGGGAACTTGTCTAAAAATCACGCATAATTTATTTACCATAAACACGATGAAGAACAAGTCGAGGAGGAGCCGACGATGGCCGCCTGTCAGAAGGGAAACCAGGACACGGAGACCTCCTGCTGAAAAGTGTGCAATGCAATTTTTGGATAGCCAGCCCTCCCCTAGATTGCAATAAAAGCATCAAAAATGCAACAAGGACTTGGCAAGGACAGGCAGCAATCAGGCAGCCAGGATGGCAACAAGAATGCCGACAAAAATAAACAATCCCCCGCCTCGATAGAAGATCCAAGCTGCAGTGCAATAAAAATCGCTTTATCTTCATTAAGTCGAGCCAGATATTATTGCAGGAGAATAACATGCGAGGAGGAGAGCCGCATCCTGCATCCTGCCCGAATCCTGCCCAGCTACCGCATTGAATAATAAATGCAACGAAAATAAAAATAAGAGATCCCTGGGACGGAGCAAGACAGAGATGGAGGCTTGGGTGGATAAAGTACACGACGCAGGGATAAATGGTGGAATCATGTACACGTACACCCGCCTCCCACACACAAAGGATACACCCACACACACGTCAAGGATATAGCCAGCCAGCCGGATGGCAGGTGAAGCGAACGCCCGAAAGTGAATACCACATTGCATTGTTGTCCTGCCGTGGGTGTTTGTGCTTCTGTGTGGGCTCCAGGTAGGTCCTTCAAGGATATTTCCCAGATACAGGGCCTTATTGCAGGGGGCTTTGAAGCGAAAAGCCAGCAGGACAGCGGAAACACCTTGAAGGCCCTAAAACCTCCCCGAAAGGGCAGAGGTCAAATCGGACTGTCTCCTCGTCATTGCCACTAATTAGCCCGAAATTAAATAAATTAAAGGGAAGCGGACTCAGGATTCAGGACTCAGGAATCTAATCCAACTTCCTCCTGAACCCGACCTACGTACGTGTGAAGGTGCAAACACAATTTAGATGTTTGCCCTTCCCAAGGGTCCTGATTGTTCAATATCCTGGCATAATTATTCATTATTCAATATTGTTCCGAGGGGAGTGGGTGGTGGCGAGTGGGTGGTGGGTCAGAGTTCGATTTCGGTTGGGAAACCTTTTAATATTCCTCGCAGGCATTCGCAGGTTTCCGCCTGATGACGTCGACGATGATACGGTCTGCTCGTGGGAGCATGACGTGGTAGCTGGTAGTGGGTGGGTGAGTGGGTGGTTGTGGGAGTGGGAGTGGTACTACCAGAGGGAAGGGCTCTCTCCTCCCAGGAAAATTGTGAAGTGGTTACAATGCATTTTTATGTGCAAGAGCGCTCGCTGAAAATTTATTGAAAACGAGCTGGAATATCTGCATGAATGAAGATGAACAGAGGAGCCCGTGCTCCAGATGCCAGGTGCTCCTCTACCTCCTCCACCTCCTTCTCATATCGATTTTAATACCTTCTCCCTCTTATTATCCTTGCAGGCGAAACGAATACAGAGCAATGAACTTGCCGCCATCAAGGTCATCAAGCTGGAGCCCTCCGACGACATACAGATCATCCAGCAGGAGATCATCATGATGCGCGACTGCCGCCACCCGAACATCATCGCCTACTACGGATCGTACCTGCGCCGGGACAAGCTCTGGATCTGCATGGAGTTCTGCGGCGGCGGCAGTCTCCAGGACATCTACCAGGTGACGGGTCCACTTAGCGAGGTCCAGATCGCCTACATGTGCCGGGAGACGCTCAAGGGCCTGGAGTACCTCCACTCCATGGGCAAGATGCACAGGGACATCAAGGGCGCCAACATCCTGCTGACGGAGTACGGCGACGTCAAGCTGGCCGACTTTGGGGTCTCTGCCCAGATCACGGCCACGATCAACAAGCGGAAAAGCTTTATAGGTGAGAGTTTTTTTTTAGAAATATATCTCTGAGTAAGGTTAACCCCTTATATACCTTACCAAGTCTGGTTGACCCTTTAAAGGTTCAGCCCTTAACCACCTTGCCACCGATCCTTGAGAGGATTAGCTTGAAATCTTTGTAGATCTATTCTCCTTTGATCTGGGCTGAAAGCCTCGAAACCAATTTTTAAAAAAATATTTTCCATATTTTTGTGGGGGTACCCCTTATTCTCATATATGGCCCCCTTGGGTATCCTATATCTTGGCCAATTCGTATCCGTATCCTGAGCGGAGTACCTTAAAAGATTTGTAGGAAGATTCTCTTTCAAAATCTAACATATTCAACCAAAGAATTTTTTGAACTATTTTTTTCAAAATTTTTGTGAGGGTACCCCTTAAAAAGTACCGGATATCTTATATGGCCCAAAGACATGTCCATATCTTGGGCAATTTTCATCCGATCCTTGAGAGGAATACCTTAAAAGATTTCTAAGATGATTCTCTACCGATTCCTATCAAAATATGGAAAAGGATTTTCCGATCGATTTTTTTCAAAATTTTTGTGGGGGTCCCCTTGGAAAATCCAGGATTTTCATATATGGCTCCAAACTATGTCCATATCTTGGCCAATTTTCATCCGATTTTTAAGAGGAATACCTTAAAAGATTTCTAAGATGATTCTCTACCGATTCCTATCAAAATATGAAGAAGGATTTTTGGATCGATTTTTTTCAAAAATTTTGAAAAAGTCATAAATGACCTCTGGCGGTAGCTATATCTTGGCCAATTTCTATACGATCATTAAGAGGGATGCCTTAAAAGACTTGTAGAATAATTCTTTATGAATTTCCATGAAAATATAGAAACCTAGTTTTCTGTCGATATTGTCTAAAATTTTTCTAAAGAAGAAGGGAGTTCTAGAAGCCTAGATTTTCATAGATGACCCAAACTAGGTTTCATATCTTGGCCTTGATCAGAATACCTTTATTTATTTGTAGGATTAGTACCTGTATCTATAAGATACCTTGCTATTTTTAGACACAATAGTATTACTTTTTGTAAGAGTATACTATACTATACTATATTCAGGATAGAAATCGAAAATCACCATCGCTATTCATCCCCGTTTGCCATTCGGCTTATGCAGATTTAGGAGATGAATTTCCATGGCAGGAGAGGAAGAAGCGAAAAGTGCTGGCTCAGGACGCGTTTAGTTGGCAGAAAAACTGCCAAATCGTTTGCATCAAGGACACTTGCCCCACCAAGTCAGGGCTCCAACCTCCAGGAGGTGAATACAAGGGTGTGTGCCACAAAGTGTTTATCATTATGAGATTCGGTCTTGTGTATGTGAATGGTGTTTTGTGGAAGGCATTAAAGCAGAAATGTCCTGACAGCCGCAACAATTGCGTTTAACGCTCCTGAAACAGGGACGGCCTGGAGAGCAGCTGTCAGAAGTGACAGGGCAGGAATACAGCAAACAATGCCAGGAGAATCAGTGGCAGGAAATATGAAAATAAACAGGACCATACACCCCAAACCACTCCACTCAGAAATGGCCAAAAAATCCTGAATGGGCTCACCAATTGAATGCAATTCAATTAGGAGTAGCATTGTAATGGCTACCGTCCCAGGGACTCTCGAATAAAATCAAAATGCCATGGCGGCTCCCGGGGAACAATTCAATTTGCAGAATATTTCAAATGCAGGCGGGAGTCGGTCTGGGATGAGGATGAAGACCGAGACCGAGAAAAAAACTGGACAAAAGTAACCGACCAGCAGGTGGCCAGTCTGGCTCTTTGTTTGGCATCCTGCTGGGAAAAAGGAGGGCGATTCCACTCCCGCTTTGTTGTCCACCTTGGACGGAACTGAACTGCGGCATAAAAGCAAATAATTTTCTTGAAAAATGTCCTCATTGGCGAAACGTCGTCTTGGTTTGACTGGCTGGAGTATCCTTTGTGGGCTGCTTCCACTTGAGCGTCTTATTTTTCCACTAATAGATTTTTAGTTTCTAGAACTTTGAGGAGGACGTCCTCACAAAGGACGTTCTGAAAGCTCAGCTATGCTTTAAGATTTAAGATTGTTGCTAGGATGGGGCAACGTGTCGTATACGCAATTTAAATGTAAATAGCGAGCTATCAGTCCCGGCCATGTGCTGTCTGGGCTGTAGAGTCTGTAGTTTGTCATGCCAACTTGCAATCTCCAGACAGAAACGCGATGATTTGCATGAGCCATCGCTTTTAGTCCTCGTCCTTTTTTTCTCGTCCTTTGAAGACTTTGCAAATGAGATTTTGCGGTAAGGACCATCAGTTAGGGGCCAGGACACCCATCTGCCTCCATCCACTGGTCATGCTCACAATTAATTATTTGAAATGCCTGCTTCTGGCTCGGCACTTAATTAAAAATCTCCTTCGGCAACCCTTCATCGGTCCTTTGACACTCGCCACCTAATTAAGTTATGACAGCTGGCTGGGTGGGAGGAGGAGGTGGCACTCCCATTTAAGGATCTTTGGTGGTCCTGCCACCAATAAAATCAAGACTTCATGACATTTCCAGCGAGCTAGTGGCACATAAAGAGGCAGGATCTCTGATTTGATTTCATTTACGCCAAATTGGATTTATCCTTAGACTCTTATCCTCCCAAGCTCCCATCCTCCTCCATCCTGGTCTAAGCAGTTTAATTTTTAATGCCACTCTTTTGTCCTCTGAGCCGGCAGTGCCTCGTAAAAGCCAAAGAGCCGCCATAAAGAGAGAGCTTCGCTAATTTAATTCAGGATTCATCCAAAAGGAGGACTCTACTTTGATAGTTTCAGTGTATCTGCGTGTGATTAATGCACTCCAATTTGTGCAGGGAAAACTGTTGAGAAGAAAAACAAAACACCAGCCAGCCAGTGGCAGGATGAGGAGTGGCAGGTTTAACGACCTTGAGGTCACCACTCGCCCAGGCATTGTGGCTCGCCCGTTCTTTGTTGCCACTTTTGGCTGCATTTCATGACGTTTTCGAGCTGAGCGAGCATCTTTTGTGGCATGTTAGTGTGGCGTGGTGTGGTATGGTGCGCCGTGCCACTGACAGCAGTGTGTTTGCCGAGTGCCAGCACCCCGATTGTCTGGGATGCCTACCTCCCTCCCAACCCCTCTCTGGAGGATGTGTGTGTGTCTGAAGCTGTCAAACAATGTGACATCCGCTTACTGTTATCATTTCGAGAGCTCCTGCTCCTGCTCCTGTTGTTGCACTTCTTGTGACAAATGCGGTGATAAGTACACACCCCATCCCATCCCACCCTACTCCATCTAAGCACGAGGTCATAGGAGGAGAAGGTGGCCTCCTGCCACCATCGATTGTTGGATTGACAGAAGCAGTGCTCTGATCCCAGATATGTCACCTCATTGCGGTTGCATATCTCCAAGAAAAAAACACACCAACTATAAGAGATGGAGTGTTCTTTCCAGTGTATGGACTGGAGCCAAGAATGGAGGGCAACTCCAAGGACAGAGCTGGGGGGGGTGGCGGCGACAGCCTGGCGCTTTTATTATTCAATAAAAAGGTGCTTACGTTTGTGTTTAGTGTCATTAACAAGTCAATGGCAACACAGGACGTGGAGCAGGAGCTGGAGCCGGAGCTTCCACCTCGTTGGATCTGCCATCCTGGCATCCCCTATTTAGCCGCAGTTATGCCATAAAGATGAATATGCGTGTGTCTGTGTGTATCCTTAATGTCTCCCTGGCTGCGAGTTGACGGAAATGCGTCTTGGCATTAAATAGATGCAGCCTAAAAGCCTGTCAACGTGTCTCCTCTCCAACCTTAAGTCCTGGGCCTCTGCCGAGCCTGGGCCTTTTTTTTCGCGGCAATTAACGAAATGATACTTGACTGGGCTGTGGACGATATTGCTCTTCTGTATCCTGTGCCCTGTATCCTGTTGGCGGATCAGTATCGACCTTTGTTTGGGCTGGGGAGGATGGTCCTGCAACTGAAACTTGCAACTCGCATCAAAGGCCCGGCTCGAAACTTGATTTTCCACCTTCGTTGTGGTTTAATTAAATTGAAAATACAATTAACTGCCACAACTCCTTGCTGTTCGGTGTTCGTGGAAGGAAAATTAATTTTCCCAGGCTGGGGAACTACTCTGGCAGATGTTGCTTCTCCTGCTGCTCCTGCTGCTGGGCCAGCATGGCGTATGAGTAATGGACGCATTAGAGACCTCTCCCTCTACGGCCTGGGGCGGGCATGTGTCGCTAACGCCTCTCGGATTTGATTACCCAGCTCCGTGCATAATTCAGCGATTTGTTTATTCGCACAATTGTAGCCTTTTTATGAGCTAATTTAATTAAAAAACAGCAACAGAATGAATAAATGACATGGACATAATCGGCGGCAATGAAATTAAATGCAAACGCTGCATAATTAGCAGGAAAAAGATGAATGCAACAATTATGTAAACCTCTATCTATTTTTTTTTTTGTATGTCCTGCAGGCACACCCTACTGGATGGCTCCCGAAGTGGCCGCCGTGGAGCGCAAGGGTGGCTACAATCAATTATGTGATATTTGGGCCTGTGGCATCACGGCAATCGGTAAGTATATTTTAATTGAAATAACCATTCTTTTTTTAATCAAAACCCTTAATTTAGAACTCGCTGAACTGCAACCGCCCATGTTCGACCTGCATCCGATGCGCGCCCTCTTCCTGATGTCGAAGAGCGGCTTTAAGCCACCCACTTTGAACAACAAGGACAAGTGGAGCCCCACCTTCCACAACTTCATCAAGACGGCCCTGACGAAGAACCCCAAGAAACGACCCACCGCCGAGCGACTGCTGCAGCATCCGTTCGTCCAGTGCGAGATGTCCTTGCGGGTGGCCAAGGAGCTGCTGCAAAAGTATCAGAGTCCCAACCAGCAGTTTTGCCACTATCTGGATGGCGATGAGGAGGTGAGGCACATGCACATTTCCAGAGGTGTAATTTATTTAAGCTTTTAGTGGAAAAGTAGCGAGAAAATGCGAAGTTTCCTTGAGCTCTGCTCTGGTCAAAGATTTAGTGGGCCATTAGGAGTTCCACCTCAGAGGAGGCTCTAGCTCTGCCCTCTGGCTCTAGCTCAGTCTCTGGTCTAATTAGTTTGCCGCCAAAGTCGTCGTCTAGACAGCCTCGTTCGAGGGCTAGTCCGAGGTCCTGCAAATCCTTTGGAACTTCAAGTTTAAAGGGATTTTCGATGAGGCACGAGTCTGCCGAGTCATAAATCTTCAATTTGTTGGAATGTTTTGCAAACTTTCGGCAACCAACTTTGCCAGCTTGTAGATTTTTAAATATTACTCAGCCTCGACATCACGCTCGAAGATCCCAATATGATTTTGATTTATGAGATGGTATCGCGGGTGGAAACTTTCTCGCTTCATGAGGGATGGTGTATCCTAAAATCCCCCATTTTTCTCTTCCAGGCGGTGGCCTGCGTGCCCCAGCGCATCGCCAGCAAGATGACGTCGCGGGCCAATGGCGTTCCAGCCCAGAACCACACACTGAAAACAGGTAAGAGGGGTGGGAAGGCTCCAAACCACAAAGTCACTTTGAAAACTTATTCTATAATTATTTCCCCCCCAAAAGGCATGACGACGAACTCGACGTGGAACGAGCGATCTTCTAGTCCCGAGACGTTACCCAGTGACATGTAAGTGAAGCTCCGCTTGGGATTCCTACCGCCACCTGAATTTTTATAAGCCTGAATCTATGCTGTAGTTTTGGTCTATGGTTTCTTCCGATTGCTTGGGTTTCAGTTTCGACACTATGTACATCCTAACCACATCCTAACCACCACAAGCAGCCATCAGGGGCCCAGCCATCAGCCTCCACGAATTGTTGAAACAATCTTATAGTTCTCCGTCTTTTTTTTTTTGATTTTTTTTAGATCTAGACCGAAATTGAGCGGCACCCTGATTATGAACATGTCTTTAAGGTTAGCTGCACTGCATGTTGCGCTTTTTATGGCCAAAAAACTGGCCAAAAAAACACGTAAAGTAAGGAGAACTACTGGAGGCCGCAGCACGCTCGCTAGTCCGTAATTTCATGGCTGCACGTTCCCCGGGCTGGGGTCCGGGCTGGAGCTGTGTTGTGTTTACTTTCCATGACTACTACTGCATGGCTGCCACATACACGCTTGCGTTTAGTTGCCGCTACGTGTCCGCATTCGCAAAATTCCGACTTGTGAATTTTTCATCCACTCCCAGCCGGACGGAGTGCGAATCCCAAGACCCCAATCCCTATGTATAATTGCAACCTGGCTGCTTGGCTGCCTGGCATTTCCCGGGGCGGGCTTCAAACTTGCGAGAAGTAATTACGCCGGAACGAGAGCTGCTCGGCCGAGAGTGTTCTGCAGAACATAATAGTAATAAGCAGTCTTAGCCCTTGGAGCAGGATGAAGGATTGAGGCTCAAGCAGGAGATAGATGGCCAGGCGGGGCGCAAAACTTTCCAAGAAATCAATTAACGCCGTGGGGGGTGGGCACTAGAGCGAGTGGCAGGAGGAGGAGGCTTGTCAGGAAAGTGCAACTGCAGGGATATTTGGAAAAGGATCTGTTGGTACTTTAATCTCCAAGAGAAGCAATGAATTGGTGTCGATGGGGCGTCATTTGTCATCTTAAATGATTACACATTGTTGCCTCGCTGATGATGATGATGATGGTGGAGGGGCGTGTGGTACATGGCGCTTTTAATAAGCCGCTCCATAGATCGAAGGGGCATGGGGAGGCCCTTGGAGGAGTGCTCGGTTTAAGTTATGTGGCAAACACTTTGCGGCAGCCGCCACTCGAGTGGCGTCACAGACAACAAAGCCACTCCGCCTCTGTCTAGCTAGCGAGTGCTTCTACAAATCTGCCACCACCACCCATGCCTGCCTCTTGCTGCCTGCCACATGCCGCTTGCCCCTTGCCACTTTGTCATCTGCTCCTTTGATTCTGCTGCCCAATTTTATTGAAGCCATAAAAACGGCTGCGCCAATTTCTATGTACTGAGCTTTACTTACAAGCGACTTGCTGGCTAAGTGCCACACCGCCTCCTACAAGCCTCCTACTTCCGCCCACTTCCGCCGCTTTGTGGCGCCCGAAAAGTTTGCAGAAAGGCTGGCTGACTGGCTGGTTCTACGCCTTTCTCCTTGGGGCTGTTCGACCGTCATGGTTAATTTCATTTAAACCGTCATAACCAGAAAGTACAACAAGAGTTATTTTCGCTTTTTTTCACAAAAAACAAAAGGGGCTTCTTATTAATTGCCTAGAAGGGAGGAAGGAGCTCGAGATTAGGGCCTGGGAATGCCACATTTTTTAATATCCCGTTTATGGAGCTGGCTAAGTGGGGAAATGGGCCAACGCCAGATGACATTAGGCCAAAAATTATGAACATGGAAAATTAGCTGATGGGTTTAATTGGGCGTGAAGGAGCCCCCAGGAAGCAGGAAGGCTTTGATTTGGCTGCTAAGAACAAGTACTACTATTTAAACACACTGATTTGATAATCTATATAGCAAATATGTATTTTTGATATTTTTATTAATGCTTTCTCCGACAAGTAGTCTTAGTTTTTCTATTTTTCGGATACTAACACTACGTTTCCACTACTTTTGTAACCTTGGGTTTTCTTGGATTTTCTTGGATTTGTGGTATTTGTTTCTTTGACAAAAACCACCTTAACACTATGATCTTTGATTTTGATTTCCATTTTCGTATCTTTTTTTTTTTTTTTTGTATTTGATTTTTGTAGGAGCCTCTTACAGTATATTGATGAGGAGCTGAAGCTAAGGTAACTACACCAACCCAACGTATCCCCCAGACCACCTCAATCTCGATCGAGTTCCCCCCATGAACCACCTACTCTGGCTCTCATTTTAGTTCAGACTGACCCACTAACCCCCACCAACACCACCACACCATTAGCACACCACCTACCGCACAGATACCTAAAACTAAGTATTAGTTGGTTGAATTAAGCAAGTTCCTCAGCTCTACCAGCATCCTTGAGATGCAAACCACCAACTACTCCCACCTGGCATGGCAGGGCTGCAGGAGCAGCATCATTATCATTATGAACCCAGGAGGAGCAGCTCATCTTGCGGCCACCTTGCTTTATTAAGGCCCACAAAAAAATAGCAACATTTTCATTACTTTCTGGCCAGGTCCGGCCCAGCCCACCCATTTAAACCATATTAAGTTACGGCTATGTGTTCCCTTCTTATAAGTTAGTTATCCTTCCATCCTGGCTCTGGTTCTGGCTCTTTGTTTGCCGGAATTCTTTGTTTTGTGGGTTATTGTTTGGGCTTTGTTCGCTCTGCCTAACTTTTCTCTATTGTCTATCGAGGAGACAGCCAGGAGAAAAGGATGTGCAGGAGGACTACGGCAGACTAGTGCTGGCAAGAGTACGCATACGCACCGTGGGACGCCCCAAAATCGACCCATTCGATGGCTCAATTATTATTTTATTTCTCGGTTTTTAAGGCAGAAACCAGAAAGCAGTTTCTAACTAATTTATACAGAACAATTGGGTTGTATTTTTGGGTCAGAATTTATGCCCCGATGGGTCCATGAAATGCGCTCGATTTGTCGTCCTTCGTCCTGCCTGGAGTTAGAGCATCCTGTTGGCTCTGGCTAACCTTTTTCCAATGTTTATTGTTTATTTATTTGATGTGTGTGCAAATGGGCGTCACATTGCTTTTATTGTTATTATTATTATTGGGCCCAGGATCCTGTCCAGTTCAAACAAGTAATGCCGCACGTAGTCCTCCTCGGATAGTCCTCCTCGGCTGCCAATTGGCAGCTCAGTGATTGTGGAGCTCAGATCTTGGTGGGCCAAGATGGGCCGCCTCGGGCGATGGAAAACAAATTGCAATTATGCTGAAACATCAACTGAAAATTCGCAAAACTAATTCGCCAAATGGGAAATGATGTTTTTCTTCGAAGAGGTCCAGTCCAGACAGTGGGAGTCTGTGGCGCCCCCGATGGAGATACCCAGCAGCTGTTTGCTTATTTTAAGGGAAATTGTTTGCATTTTCTTTTAGGAATTAATTTTCCAGGCATTTTTTTTATTATTTGTTTTTGTTTCTGTTTCTTTGTTCTTCTCTTCATCACTCTATGTACTTCTGTGCATTCATGTGCGAGGCACATTTTCTATTCAGGCATTTTTCCATTTTCCATTTCCCATGCGAGTGTGTATCTGTGTATCTTTGAGGTATTTTGTGTTTTGCATCTCATGCATAATTTATGGCTTCATATTAGTTTATTTATTTATTTATCTTGCGAGCCACAAAAAGCGACTAAAAACTACTGCCAGCCCTGCCCCTGACCCTGCTCCTGCCAGAACCCATTCACCAAACAGGGCCGCAAATAATTTCATTAAAAGCGTAATCCGCTTAACACCCAGCCTGCCCCTCGACCCGTGGTCCTGGTCCTTTGGGAAGGACTTGCGGTTGTCCTGGAGAGTTTATCATCTCGATTGCATGTGTTTGGCACACAATTAAACAGACAACACACACACACCCGCAGCGAAGTGCATGGCAGGGACCTGCTCCGCCCACCGATCTCCTCCCACGCCACACAACACCACCGCCCACCCACCACAGAGCCAGCCCCAAGACCCATACAGAAAGAAGCATCTGGATCAATCAGCTATAGAATCGATATGTTTATTTCAATTATATTTCTTTTCTTGGTAACCTTTAACCTTTTTTGAGCAAAGTAGGACACTGCCAGCACTGCAGTGGCAACATATCGGTTTTAAGTTTGATCTCATTTTTTTTTTCTGTGCACCCAACTACCCCTCACGTTCACCCGCCGAAGTCAAATCAGAAATATAGCCTCAACTGGCTTTCTTTTCTCTCTCTCTCTTTCGCCTCTCTTCCCACACTCTCTAACTAACGCTGTAATCGCGACCCTGCGACCCTGCGACCTTGCGACCTCGCGTACCGCTCCGCTTGTCGTCTGTAATGCTCTGCAGAGCGACCTTGCCACTGAACGACACCAAAGACTCACTCGGCGCCGAGTGCAGCTGCGCCCACAACGGTGGCTTGGGAGGAGGAGGAGGAGGAGCAGGATCTGGAGCAGGAGCTGGCAGCGGGGCGAACGGCAGCAGCAGCAGCAGCAGTGGCAACGGGGGGGCAGGCGGAGGCACCACCAGCATCTCAACCCATCAGCATCAGAATCAGAATCAGCACCACCATCACCATCAGAACCAAAACCTGAATCAGAATCAGAATCAGCATCTGCATCAGCACCACCAGTTGCAGCAGCAGCACCACCACCACGTCCAACCCACGTCCAAACCGCTGTCGCATCTGTCGCACCACCAACACCATAACCACCATAACCACCCATCGAGCAGCACCGCTCTGACCTCGTCCATGTCCAGTGGTTCAGTGGTGACCTCCAATGCCAACTGCAATTCGTTGACCTCCTACCTGGGCCACCAGGGAGTCGGCGGCGGCATCGGAGGAGGAGGAGGATCCCACCTAATGGGATGCAACCAGGGCCTGGGTTATGGCCCGGGCATGGGTCTCGGTCTGTCCAATCTGCGCACCACTAGCATCGATGGCGACCGGGACGAGGCCGATCTGGTGGCTGCCGACGTGGCCATGAACAATGCTGCTGCCGCCGCCGTTCCAGGTTCCGGCAACGGGTTGGGGTCCGGTTCCAATTCCGGTTCGGGTTGCTCTGCCTCCGCGGCCCACTACCTGCGGTACAGCAGCAACTATCGCTCGGCCGCCGCGGCCCAGGCGTCGCAGGCCTCGTTGGCCGCCCATCCCTCGCCGAATGGGCATGGCCACGGTCACGGCCATGGGCCACCACTCTCATCCAGCATCTCATCAGCCTCGTTTTATAATCGCCTCCTACTACTCGATAATTCTAGCGGCGATGCGATCGGCGGCGGTGTCGGCGTAGCAGGAGGAGGACACGCGGCCGTAAGCGGCAGCAGCAGCTCCAGCGGCGCAGTTAACGGCGGCGGCAACACCACTGGCGGCGGAGTCGGCACCAACGGCCTCCTGGACAAGCACGAGCTGGAGGCCAGTCCCACAACTGCCATCCAGTCTGCCGGGGACGGCTACTTGCATTCCAACAGGGGCGCGGCCGGGACGGCGAGCTCCGGAGCAGCGGAGGGAGGGCCCTCGACGAGCAGCTCCTCGCATCTCTACCAGAATCTGCTGAGGAGCAGTTCCGGGGAGTCGCCTTCGGCAGGAAACAACTGTGATTACCGGCACGAGAGCAACCAGGTGAGATTATGCCTTGAAGCTTAGAATCCATTCATTAACCTTGTCCTTGCCATTCCCAGAACGGTCTGGAGGACTCGCCTCGACGCCATAGCTCCATGGATCAGCTGATTGGACTGATAAACGACATGGGAAAGTCCTCGCGGACACGCAGCCTCAGCGATGGCGGCACCCAGGACGATGACGAAGGTAAGCCAACGGAGTAGTGTCTCCAAAGATTGGCCCCTAATCCATTAACTACCCACAGTGGAGAAGGAGGCGCAACCGGATCTGCTGAACAATACACCGCCGGTGCCGCCGAAGCGCTCCCACAAGCGGCGGCACACTCCTCCCCGGCCCATCTCCAACGGCCTGCCGCCCACCCCCAAGGTGCACATGGGCGCCTGCTTCTCAAAGATCTTTAACGGCTGCCCACTGAGGGTGCATTGCACCGCCTCGTGGATCCACCCGGAGACGCGGGACCAGCATCTGCTGATCGGCGCGGAGGAGGGCATCTACAACCTGAACATGAACGAACTGCACGACGCGGCGATCGACCAGCTCTTTCCGCGTCGCACCACCTGGCTGTATGTGATCAAGGACGTGCTGATGAGTCTGTCGGGTGGGTACTCCTCCTCGTGTATAGCCCCCACTTCCTCTAAACGCCTCTTCCATATTCACAGGAAAATCCTGTCAGCTCTACCGGCACGACCTGGTGGCCTTGCATTCCAAGCAAACGGTGCGCTTCTCGCTGCACATGAACAAGATCCCGGAGCGATTGGTGCCACGGAAGTTCGCGCTGACCACCAAGGTACCGGACACCAAGGGCTGCACCCAGTGCTGTGTGACGCGGAACCCGTACAACGGCTACAAATACCTGTGCGGGGCCACGCCCAGCGGCATCTTCCTGATGCAGTGGTACGATCCGCTGAACAAGTTCATGCTGCTAAAGCAGTGCGAGTGGCCGGCCATCAGCATCCAGGGCGGGGGCTACGGCTGCGTCCAGAACGGGCACACGCCCGTCTTCGAGATGATCATCACGCCGGAGCTGGAGTACCCCATTGTGTGCACGGGCGTGAGGAAGGCCATGAACGGCTGCCTCAAGCTGGAGCTGATCAACATGAACAGTAAGCCGGGAAACCATCATCTCGACAGGGAATCATTACAAGAGCTCTTCTTTCACAGGTGCCAGCTGGTTCCATTCGGAGGACCTGGAGTATGACGCCATGGCCACGATGGTGCCGCGACGCGACCTGCTGAAGGTGGTGCGTGTGCACCAGGTGGAGAAGGACGCCATCCTGGTCTGCTATGGCAATGTGATGCAGGTGGTAACGCTGCAGGGCAACCCGAAGCAGCACAAGAAGATGGTATCGCAGCTCAACTTTGACTTTAACGTAGACAGCATTGGTATGTCTGGGTGTGATCCTTCAAAAGTGATCTTCTCAAGCAATATCTTTGGGTATCTTTCAGTTTGTTTACCGGACAGCGTTTTGGCATTCCACAAGCACGGCATGCAGGGCAAATCCTTGCGCAATGGCGAGGTGACGCAGGAGATCAAGGACATGAGTCGCACCTACCGGCTGCTGGGCAGCGACAAGTAAGGATATCTCTGCTCCTCTTACAGTATTCCAATATAAAACTCTAACACTTTACAGGGTTGTGGCCCTGGAGAGCCAGCTACTGAGGACCGGCTCCCTGGGCAGCGAGGAGGGACACGATCTGTACATTCTGGCCGGGCACGAGGCTAGCTACTAGGCTGGCTACCCACTGTTATATTCTAAATATAATCCGGTACACCACAAACACACACATCCAGAAGTTTTAAGGACCGCCACGTCGTCAACTATTAACTGTAATTTAATTACTCGTAGGCTAAGATGTCGATTACTGATCTTAGAGGAAGTCGTCGAAGGTTCGATAGCTTAGAGTAGAGCAATTTTATGCACCTAAAATGAGGCAGCCTTCGAGCTGGAGAGACCGAACACTACCCAGCAGCCAGCATCTTTTCGATAAATATATATATATTTATATATATATATGTATGTATGTAGGAGGCGCCTGCGTCTGCCCGATTCCGTTGTAGTTATATTTTTGTATTACAAAGAAATGCTTTAATTTATACAACTAACCTTAAAGACCTACGATAAACGCTACGGATATGTAGTTACGGAGTTATGTTAGAGATTTTATGGAGTTATGTCTCAAAAGTCGGTAGTAGATACGTTTTTCCAAAAATAGTCAGCGTAAGCGAAGCAAAAGGATCCAATGATACACTGTACTGCATGTACTGCAATACCATTTATACACTGCAATTATAGGCACCAGAGATCCACTCTATAAGGCAATTAGAACTAATAATACAAGAATACTTCTTAGTGGATAGCAATTGTAAATCGCAAATGTTTTTAGCGTGTTAAACTGCTTTCGATTGGCTCAAAGGATGTGCAAAAAGGACACGGCGGAGAGGGGGAGTATACACGGTTTGTTGGGAAACAAAAAAATACCTAGTTAGTAAGCCTTTTCTAACCTAGTAAACACGAATTAACAGAATTAACTGCAATTAACGGTCTGTATCTGTATGTTAAACGAGTCAACTGATTGTCATAGTTACGGTTCTAGACTATATACATAAGCTAAGCGATGAAGCAGAGCATCTTTCCGAGCAGCACTTTCGTCGATTCAGTTGTAAAAATATTCAATCTAGCCCTTAAGTTATTTAGTTTATACGACAAAGCGTAAAACCCAAAATTACAAACTAATACGGAGAGAAAAACAAAAAGAAAAGCCCACAAAATTGTTGAACTCTAGTTTAGTGCAAGAATAAAAACTATGTGAAAGAACATTCATTAAAGTTTTTGATTTTTAAATGTGGAGACATGTTCAGTCATATTTTAAAACTCCCGCCCTTTGGCGAGCACCACATTATGACCTTTTTCAACACTGGGTTTTTGGTATTTTTTCAAAGGCGTTATCCCCTTTTGCATTTCCTTCACGTGTTTCAGAATTTGTTTACAATTTTCAGTCCACGACTTATACTTTAAAAATGAAGCCATTCGAGGTGCCTCCTTGGGAAAAGGGAGCAGAGATCATCGAATTCAAGTCCGTGACGCCAGCGGGGAATGGAGTGGCAGCCGCCAAAAAGCCAAAGAAGAAGAAACCAAAGAAGAAAAAGGCCAAACCGGCGGAGGTCGCAGCGAAGAAACCTGCGAATGGAAAGTTCAACTACCGGCAGGGTGGTGGTCCTCTGGCCCCGCCACCGGACTCCGCATCCTCGGATGATGACGATGTGGAGGACGGAATCCGGGCCATGCACAAGGTGAGAACTGGAAGGATCGAGAAACAGCGTCCCTCCACACAGGCCACTAAGGGCGGCAAGAAGCAGCTGAATCTGAAGCCAGAACTCGCTCAGGCGGCTGTGGAGGCCATGGAGACGGCACCCGCTTCGGCTGCCGCCACACCCTCTTCGTCGTCGCTGGCCAGCAAACTGCAGTCGGAGCTGTTGGGTGGACGGTTCCGGTACATCAACGAGCAGCTCTATTCGGTGACCAGTCGCAAGGCGGCCGCCCTCTTCCGCCAGGATGCCTCCGCCTTCGAGGCCTACCACGCGGGCTACCGCCAGCAGGTGGAGAAGTGGCCCACTAACCCTCTCACCCGCATCATCAAAACCCTCAAGCGCCTGCCCAAAACCGCCATAATCGGAGACTTTGGCTGTGGCGAGGGCAAGCTAGCCCAGTCGCTGCCCAACAAGGTCTACTCCATGGACTTGGTGGCAGCCAGGAGCGACATCATCGCCTGCAACATCACTGAAACTCCCCTGCAGGCTCAGTCCCTGGACGTGGCCGTCTATTGTCTGTCACTGATGGGCACCGACCTGAACGAGTTCTTCCTGGAGGCCAACCGAGTGCTCAAGCTGCACGGCAGCGTCTACATAGCGGAGATCCAGTCCAGATTCGAGGATGTTCGGGAGTTTGTGCGTTGCCTGGCAGCCTGCGGCTTCGATCTCATCAAGAAGGACGTGGCTGTGAACTACTTTTACTTCTTCCAGTTCAAGAAGATGCGTCATGTGCCCAAGACCACCAAGCTGAAGTCGTTCTCCCTGAAGCCATGCCTGTATCGGAAGCGATAAGGTCAGACAGGCTGCCAGATTTTAGACGATTGGATAAAAGTACATTTCCATATTCTGTGGAAAGGAGCGTTTATCAAATTACTCGTAGTTTTCGTTAATCTAAATATTATTGAATACAATTGTAAATGATAATACCTGTTGTTAAGGGTATTAGTTAATTCAAGAGGTTTAATAAAACCTTCAATTCAGAAGCAAGTCCCTCAGATTTTTATTCATTTGGCGCCACCTTTTCAAATCGAAACTTTCCATCTGAACTTTCCAATACTGCTATCTGTGCCACCACTCTGGTGGTTGTACTCTCCGGACCGGTTTCTCGCTCTCCCAACCGGTAACACACACGAACCGGGTAGAGCACCCAAGCTTTGGCTCTCTTCCGAGTGGATTCGTATCTCAACTGTGTGAATTGTATCTTGTATCTCTCCGAATTTCAACGAGTAAGGTTCGCGACTGAAAGTATCTAAGTATCTTCGTGCAGAGCACTTCGAATATTTGTGAGGACGGTACGTTGACGCGGAATCAAGAAGCCAACTAGCCAGCCAGCCAGCTAAATAGCTAGCCAGCAGAACTGAACAGGCGGTGGCGAGCGGAAAAGCGGAAAAGTGGAAAGAAAAGCGCGCAATTCGCGGCAGTGTTTATAAATAAATTGGAAATTAATTTATCAGCAACCACTATTCGCGCAGTTTTCACCCACGCCCACCCCACCCTCACTCCCCAGCTCTCTCTCTCTCTCTCTTCTATTCTGACCTCCCCCCCTCCCCCTTCCCTCTATTACTCACTCAAAGTCAAAAACTCAACCGTCGAATTCTCAACAGGTATTCCAACGACGATCCGACGACGACAACAAATTTGTCTTTTTTCGCGTTTCGAATAGAAAAAAGTGGCAAGAATTTGTTTATCAGTGAAAGCGCAACAACACAGTGAGAGTGCAACGTAACGGGAATTTAGTGAAAAGCCAAAACAAGTACTCCCTTTCGTCCTGCAACCCATCTAAGTGGATTAAGCCCAAAAGGATTCCGTCCGGAGCACCGTTGTTTGGGTGAGTTGATTGCGGGAATTGCGCCATTTGGGGCTTAGCCCTTCTTGGCTTTGTATCTTTTGGATTTTTGGGCTGTGGTCGGAGTTTTCGGTGGCTTTAGATACAAATACAAGCGAGATACAGATACAATTGGACAGTATGACTTCATAGCCGCAGCTCACGCACACAGGCCCCTAACCCGAACCCGAACTCGAGTTGGACTAGCCCGTGGAGAGCCGCTCTCCGGGCGTGCTCGCTGGGGAGAACTGGTGAGCGACGGCGAGAGCCAGAAACCACCTCACTCCCGGAGTATCTTATGGAACGACATTCTATCCGTTTCTGTTTTGTCAGCTCTTCGAGCTCTCGGCCCACATTGTTGTTATTGGCTTGGCTGGGCTACTCCACTTTTCCACCCTTCTGTTTAAGGTTTTTCTGTTTTCTTGTTTCCTGACTCTGTTCTCGGTTCTGTTTTCCTCTCCTGGTTCGCATTCTGTTGGACGACGACGGAGGGGGAGATTCTTATTAGCCCTCCCGTTCGGTAGCCAGGGAAACGTTCCACAACACCGATCAGATACAAATGTATCTACACACACGATTATGTCGCTTTGGAGTATGGTATTCACACAATTTTCATTTCCTGGGACGGCCAGATCCACTAGCCACTTTATGACACTGATTCCCCGGCACGTTGGCACGTCACTCCTCCGAAAATAGAACGGATCGGCTAGTAGGCGAGCAGCAGGTTTCCATAACCCCCTCTTATCAGAGGGCGGGTTTTCGCATTGGCATTTCGAACTCAGGTGCCACTAGGAGTACTGCTAGAATGCGTCCCCTGCGATAAGATAAGCCACCAAAACAAAGGCCATTTATGAATGGCAGGTGACTGTCGGCCCGCCCTCCTCCTCGGACGGCCTTCTGCCGTGACTCAGTGACGCTTTTCACCATCCCCGGAAAACCTGGGGCTGGGCCGTTGACTTGGCAACCGATTCGAGTTGGCCAAGAAGCAGTTAGCAGTTAGCCAGCAGTGCTTGTTTACGTGGTTAGGCTTCGTTTTTCGTGGGTCTGAGGGTCTGTGGGTGCGGGGTGGGCGGGCTGTGACCCAAATAGTGGAAAAACATTAACATGGAGACTGCTCTCCGGGCAATGCAAAGTGGCAGGAAAGAGCTGCGAGCTTGCATTAGAAACCGGTTTCTGGCCAAGAAGACGTCGGGCCAAGACGAACTGGCTGGCGAGGCAAACAAACAGATAAAGCAGCCGAGCAAAGCAAACCCAGAGGAGTGCCAGGCCAAGAGAGTCGAAAGCCATGCTAATAACTGTACAGCGTGGAGGCTTGGGGCATGGAGCATGGAGCATGGAGCGTGGAGTGAGCGACCCAGCGAAATCAGAGACCAACGTGCTAACGGCTCGTCAGCACGCTAACCTGGCCGAAAAGAGTTCGAGCCAAAACCTGAATTCCAACTCGATGCTTGGTGCTCTGGCTCGAAGCTAGAGCGGAGCGTAGCCAACAAGGTGTGTCTTCGGAGGCATTAGAAGCTCTCTCTCCAAGCCTGGCTTTGGTAATTGCCGTTGGAAGCGCTTTTCCAGCGTGGCCAGATCGCTTGGAGATCTTCAGAAGAAGATCCTCCACTTTGATCCTCTTCAGAAGCCTCTTGCTATTCTTAGACTCCCCCCATTTCCAGAGGAAAACCAATCTAATCTGTCCACAAACTCAATCAGACGGAAGGCAGCTTTTCCAGCCAGGCTAGGCACTTCCCCTTCTCCCCCCATTCCTGGCTTTTCCGTTTTTCTATTTTTATTTCTTGTAGCATCGATTTTTATTCCTCCTGCTCCTCCGGCTCCCCCTGCTGCTGCTGGGGCGTCTATGGGTCTATGATTTATGTGGAGAGCGCTGAAGTGGACAAAATTCTCTTCGGCGGCGGTGGCGGCTTGTTTGTTTACTTCCTTCCCCACACCCCCAGGCTCCCCCCAGTTTTCCCCCTCTGTCTGGGACAGAAATCAAAACGCGATGCGACAGTGGGTGCGGTATCCACTACTCAGTACCCAGTACCCAGTACACAGAAAGAAAAATAAACAGAAGGGTCTTCCAGCTAAAACGAAAAAATCGCAGAGGCCTAATGGGCAAAATAGGTCCATAATTTCTCTGTGGTGCACAAATAGATGCATTCAGAGTTCGTTGGCCAGGCGAAACCGAGTGCTTTAAATAGCCATCAGAGCTCGGGGCGGGGGCCGTGTGGATACGGGTGTGGGCGTGATCCACTCGCGGTCATGTCGCACTGACAGCTGAGCGCCGATCAAGTCGGTAATTAGTCAAGCGACACATTAGACTCATCCAAACCGTCACTTGAGATGGCCAAGAGTGGCAGCCAGCACAGTGGCTGATCCACTTCTAGCTTTCTCAGGGTTCCCCAGTGCGAATTGGGAACGGATCTGGCTTATCTAGAGGCTAGCTAGTAGTATGAAATCCCTCGATAAGTCCGGGTATTCGCAAGGCGGAGCACACCCCACAATCTGGCGTGTATTGATTGACCCAGTTCGGCGCTGAGAATGTTTACGCATTCCCCGTTTGAGGATTTCCAGCCCCAAAACTACGCCACCCAAGTCGAGAGACCCCCAACGAGCTCCATAATTATATGCGGCATGAAAATCGAACTAGGGGTTACAGACTGTTTCCAGAGGTCAAGAGTTTGGGGAAATCAATGAAACTCGAGTACATTAATTGCAAAGTCGAACTATTTCTCCCATGGAGTGACAACTTCCCGGGAGCGGAAGCCCTTCCATGTTCATAAACGGATGCCGAGCGGGCTTCAGACCAAATAGCCCGTCAAAATGGCGCTTTTTGAATGCGATTTATTGGCAACGGTTCGTTGCTTCCAGAAAATGGCAAGTTTGAAAAGTTTTGCGCACTTCGCTGCCCATTGTCCCGGGGGGGAGGAAAGACAATTTCCATGTGAAAGTTCGCCCTGGGACTAGGGAAGCCGACCACTCGCCGGCTCAGGTGAGTGACGGAGTGACGCCAACGCCCACAGGTGACATAAGTCGGTGACAGAATAATAACTCGATGATGTATCCATCAGATACTCTGTGTACTCTGTAATGAACATTCCGAGGACGGCCCTGCCCCGCTACAAATTGAATTTGATTTAAGTTGTATTAAATGAAACTTAATTAAAGGGGGAGCTGGCTGCACCCGGAGAGCTCGTTCCGTTTTTAAATTGGAACGCCGCGAAACGGGCGGCCAGATGGAATCTTCGTTCTTACTTTCACAATTCTTTTCGACGCACAACACACATATGTATGTATGGATGAAGATGTAGATGTACTGGGGGTCATCTGGTTCTCGATTCTTTGGACTATATAGTTCTGCAACGTGACGTTAGACGCGCGCCTTGTAGTGGCACTTGATGAATTTCACCTCGACCTCCTTCAATTGCGGCGAATGCTCTGTGTTTTTTTGGGTGTCGGGGTGTCGGCGGCGTCTCTTGCAAATATTTCTCTATAAACTATAGAAATAGCTCTCGATTGAGCCGATGACATCATCGTTAATGCGATACGAAAATAAATCATCGACGAGGCGGCAAAGTGCTGCCATTACAGCTCGCTATCAGCATCGATTGCACGACTTGTTGATTGTTCTCCCCTCAGGTTTGTTTTGGTTTGCCTGACAATCTAATTGGATGTGGGGCCCATCCAGAGATGATTCACCTCCACGTCAACTTGATCCGCAATCCGCAACATACAGTATTAGGGTAGTTGCAATGGTGATGTCAACATTGCGTATGCGCAACCTTCGACTATGGGAACGGCCGACGAGAACACTGCCAAAGTAATTCCATATACACATGGCTCATGGTACGGTCGACGGTCTACGGCCTGGCCCGAGAATAAATAAAAATAATATAAATTAGATGTTTGTCTGCTTTTCGGGTCGCGGCTCTGCTTTTCTCAACATACATATTTTTGTATCGTGTGTTTTTGAATTTCGATGGCACGATGACGCCACCAGAGTTAATTCTTGTCCGTATTAAAATGCTCTCTGTTTTTTTTTTCTTTTTTGTATCTTTTTGTTTTGGAGCTGTAACATCTAGTCTAGTTTCCAAAGAAGAACTAACTGCCTCTGAAACTGGTTCTACAGAGGTCTGGTTTGTTTGGTTGGTCCGGGCTTTGTCCCGGGATCG